TGATTTCTTGTGAGCAAGATTTTTTTTTCTTTGTGGCTTTTGGGTAGGATATATATTTTCTCTTGGTGGTGTGTAGGATTTTTTTCTTCTTGTATGTAACATTTTTGGGGGGCTTATGGTGGTGCAAGATTTTTTTTTAGGTCCATATGTTGTGCACGATTTTTATTTTTGGTGAAATTTGATCAATGAATCAATCACTCAATAAGTAAATCAATCTTCAAATAAGCTGATCATTTAATCTTGACAATTTTACTGTCAAATTGTATTAGTTTCTCATGAACCACTAGGTATTCCTTCCTGTCAATCAATCAATCATATTTGATCAATGAATCGTTCTATTAATCTATCAACCAAGTAATCATTCAATACAACTTCATCAATTCAATCATTCAACCAATGAATTTGTGGTTCACTAACACATAGAAACTAATATAGCATGATTTGTTCAATYGTTAGACAATCACCGTCTGTTTGTATTTGGTTGTAACACATTTGGACAGCTTGGACTTGGAACAGCAAATGGTTGCTATCTCTCTCCAACACCATGCCATGTAAATATATTTCTTTAAAACTCACATTTTCCATGGGAAAATAATAATCATTAATCTAGCTATCAACTTACATGATTATTACAGTTTCAACACTTTCTGTACCATAATTCCATAAGTGTCTGAAATAACGAGTAGCTGCAGGGAGTTCTTGTCAAATCTGACCTTAAAATGTTTATTTTATAAAAATAGGTTGTCTGTTATATTGGGTAGGTTGGTTGGCCTGCTAACATAATAGTGGAATTTGCATTATGGTGTTATAACTATAACTACCAGAATGCTTTGCACACTCTGTATTTATGTAAATAGTTCGATTATAATTTGCTAATATTAACTAATCTCTATTTAAAATCTAATTAACAATAAAAAGCCTTGCACAGTCTTTGCAAAGCAGGACAGGATTGTTCTTAATGTTCTTAATAGTAGGTTGGACAGGGTGTGATTCATGTTGGAGCTGGATTACGACACTCAGTAGTACTACTTGGTATGATAAATACATGATAAATACATGATTTCAAGAATATCCACCTGCCATATGTTTGTCTTAATTGCTGTAATTTTGCTTTCAAGATGATGGCACTGTTTGGTCCTGGGGAGACAATAAAAAAGGACAATTGGGAATTCCAGGGCTACAAATGAAAAGAGTTCTAAAGCCAATGAAAGGTGATCTTGCTGGTAGATAATTGAACAATATTTTACATGTCGCATGTACTTTTATTTGAAATTTGATAGTCCAAGATCAGGCTAGAGAAAAGTTTTTGTTTAATTGCCAGTATGGCAACATTGTCAAATAAAGCTTACTTATCAATGGAAAATTCCATCTTGTCAGGAGAAAAATTAGTCCCTCCTCATACCTAATAACATGAGAATTATACAGAAAAATCACCACAAAAAAAAAACTAAAATAAGACAATTTACTGTTAATCCACAGCATGTTTTTATCTTGCAAAAAAAGAAAAAAAAGAAAGAAAGAAAGAAAGAAAGAAAAAAAAAGAAGACAAACAAAGCAAAGCAAAGGAACCAAGCAAAAGCAGATCAATGAGATCTAAGGTTTCTACTCAAAGTTTTAACCATGTCTTTGTGTTTTAAAGTTAGTCGTCTCATGGAAAAATGTATCCAAGTCATAGCAGGATCACAACATTCAGCTGTTTTAACAGGTACTTAGTCTTCTTTATTCTCAGTGAATTTATAAACAAATATGATAAAAGGCTTGGTTATGACCTTAATTAATGATTGCTTTCAGTTGAAAGAGCATAAGAACATTTAAGAAGTATTTTAAAATTGCAGCTAGAATGTTGCGTGATAAAGAAAATGAGGTGTCTCTAGCTTGAAAAAAAAACAAATTTAATTTAATTTGTTTTTGTTTTTCAAGCTAGAGACACCTCATTTTCTTTATCAACATTTACATGTAACTGTGTGAAAGCRAGATTTGGAGTCATCTGATTTTTCCCTTGTAGTCATAGTAAATGGTAAAATAGTGGACTTATGTGTATTCATAACCACTGATTCTCCTTTATTTCAGAGAGTGGTCAAGTATTTTGCTGGGGATCCAATCAACATGGTCAGTGTGGTCTACCTGTGTCTAGTGAGGCTGGCTTGTTTGATGAACCTCAGCTAATTGGAGGAGCCTTGTCCAATCACAACGTCACTTCTATACATAGTGGCTGGAGTCACCTCATTGCACAAATAGGTATTTTCATGATACACATTAGAGTCAATAATCACTTAAGTGGTGTAATATATACGAACACTTCTAATATGGTAGCTGCATTCACTCTAACGAAAACATGGCTTATTTTATAAATAAAGATTGTGCTTCTTCTGTGTAAATAAGGTGTTTTTTTTTGCAGAAAAAGCACGATCTTTATTTATAAACAAATGCCTGCATACAAAGAAATTCTAAACATGGCTTATTTTGTTTACTATTCACACAAATTCCTTCAATTGAACATATTATGCAATTTTAAAAGCAAAGATAGAGCTCATTGAAAAGGATTTCTTTTATGGATGAATATTTTCTTTCTTTGTTTTCTCCCATTTTTTGCATTATATTTACGACCACCCTTCCCTTATAGCTTTTCTAATATTCCACTCTATATTGACAAGAAGGGAAAGCTTGTATGAAGGGTGGATGAAGTTATCCACTGTATAAAGTCATACATTTGTATGGCCGTTTTGATTGATTTACATACTGCAGATAGAATGACTGACAGCTGACACAGTCTGACTGTGATACTGATATTAAATTAAATCTGGATTATTTGTTCATTGAATTTTATTGGAGAACAATGATCTTTTCATTGGCAGGAGTAGATGATGTTTACAGCTGGGGTAGAAGTGACTATGGTCAACTAGGATTAGGAGATGAGATTGTACTACAAAGATACAGCTCTTTTCCATCAAAAATACCAAATCTTAACAACATCAAACATGTAAATACTGTGACCGCTTGAATGTGTTTGATTCAAAAAACTGATACTGATACRTATTTTGCTCTTTTGTTATTCAGATGATGTGTGGAGCTGAACACAATATTGCTTTACTAGGTATAACTAAATTGCGTGTATGTTTTTCCTACTAAAGCAGCCAGTCATTTCTGTGTTGAGCTGAGGAATTGCAACCTCGTCCCCAGGGCCATCTCGGACAAATCCCTTTCAAGATGGCGGTCTTCGTTGAGATGAGGGCCTGGGGACGGTGTTGGAATTGAGCCTGATAATTGAATAATGTATCGGCAAAAATAATTTTGAATTCTACTTTCTACTTTCGAGACAAGTTGGCGAAAAAGTTGCAGATTGTAACAACGAAGCTTTTTCTGTTTCCTATTTCCTGTTCTATATTATTTACCGGTACTTTTGTTTAATTCCTATTTTTTCTTTCATTCCATTCTATTCTATTCTATTCTACTGTCAGTATTTTAATATTCCATATACTTTCACAGAAAATGGCAAGGTTTTGACATGGGGATGGAACGAGCATGGAATATGCGGTTCTCAAGACGAGGCTAATATTCATCGACCAAGGCTTGTTAGTTTACCTGAAGATTTTCGTGCTGTACGTGTTGGTTGTGGCGGAGGACATACATTTATAGCGCTAAAACCAAAGTAAATTCAAAGTGTATATAATATTTATTCTATAACAAAAGAGTAGTATCGTCTTATTCAAATGTCAAAGAACTTGAACTTTGAACTTCTTTCAAATTATTCCTTTGTGCTTCATCACTAAATTATTTCTCCTATGARTTTTTAGAATCGATTTGCAATGGATTTTTTTCTAATATTTAGTTAGATTTAGATTTCTAATAATTTATATCCGTTAGCACAGTAGCGGCAGTAGCATAGTGCTTTAAGACGGATAATTTAGGAGGAACCGACGGGCTCTTGGGAGAAATATGTCCCAGCCAGCTGTAAGTCACAACTGGTTGCCAGCGAGAAATTCAGGAAAATTATAATCAAAATTACTAAAAACAAACATCTTATAAAAAACTCTCCAGGCAAAGAATACTTTCTAAGAATTTTTGCCATGAAAATAAAAATTTCCTAAATAAAAAAGAATGTAAACTGTTTTTGTCTATAAAAACGTTTGCCAGGAACAAAACTATTTTAAAGAAGAAAGGGCGCCACATTTGCTTGTGAGATTGTCAACAATGAAGCTCAAAATCCCTTTCCCAGGAAAAAATTCGTACAAGAACAGTTATTTAGAAGAACAGACCCCGTTGACTCCTGATTATTGTGCGTAAAAGGTCGAGGTTTGATCACGGGTATTTATCAACAGAAATTTTCAGCAAACTTCGTTACTCAGCAAATGATTTGGGTCTCAGAAAAAATGTTTAAGTCTAAGTATTGGCGTAAGATATATATACACAAGGGCTATATCTGTAAATAAAGCGCACTGCTTCAGAAAATTTTGTTGTTGACTAATCAAAACAATAGAGCAGTTGTATAATCTCGGGCATTTTGCTGTGATAGTTGCACTTGGAAACTAAATGTTCTTCAAAACTTCGTGGTTGAGCTCGAACTGCGTTCTCTAGCGACTATTTATTTTTCGTAAAATCCATAATATAAGTACGAATAACAATGATCTTGTGATATATATATAAACAATCTCATTATAATTCATTTTCATTTTCTGTATAATTTCACAACAGATWGAAGTTTTAGAACCACTTCTTAAATTCCACACATGTTTTAGATGGCGCTGTTTTCTTAGACGATCATATGGGCACTAGGCCTTAGATAACACATGATATTCCATTATCTGGTTCTGTAAGTACGAACTAAGCATTGGACAGAGGCATACTGTAAGGCCCTCGGTGTACCTTGACGTCTTGTTTCTAAAATCGTGGCCACAGAGATTATCAGAGATAGACGAGCTATTTCAGAAAACGTTGAGTAATGACGATAGTGTYCCAAAGACTAAAATAGCACATTGTTGGCCGTTTTGTCGCTTTTGATGAAGTGGTTTTAGAGTGATACTATACCAGCTACGTGCAGTCAAGAACTGCAGTTGAAAGCTATTAAGTTTAGAATTGTCATTTTGTATCTCGGTTAACATTGAGTTAAGTGGCAACARTGCATTGCGATCGCCGAGTGCATTATGCAGTATTCAGCATTCAACGTTTTCTAAAAATAGCCTATGTACGATTATTGCTCGTAAGCCTATGTAAGTAACTCATGATAAAAATTTGGAATTCATAATGCATTTTATTTCATCCGCGTTTCAATTTCCTAAAACGAAAGCCCAGGCTTTAGTTTCATGAGTAAGGAAATGTCAGCGTATGAAACACCCCCATGTCTCGTGATCAAGACCCGGCGCCATTTTTCTTTCAGAACTTGGCTTTAACCAGTTCAATCAAGTCAAAGTGATKTTCAAATTAGTTTAGTAGTTAGCTAGTCCTCCAGGTGTCTGGACGGGTTTKGATCGCGCAGTAACTGAAAATGACTTAATATATTTCGGTTATCAATAAAAATCTTTTGCCAGAAGAATCCACCAGATCTATGATAGAACAAAACATTGGCGAGACTTCTTACAACGCCAAAAATGGTTATCAAGTTCTCGGTAACTCCACGAGACTGTTGACCATCCAGACCAGTTACATTAMAAGACAACTGTATAGTYCCAATCAGGAACATGACGAAGTTGCTTACACAGAAGAAAATTAGAGTGAGCTTAATCAGTATTTTGACCGATTTGTCGAACCGTTGCTCAACCTTTTTCAGCTCAGTAAAATTAAAAACACCAATAACTAGGACAGTCAGGACATTTTCACTAAGAAAGCAGGCAACGACAATTTCTTCTAGTCGACTTCCTTTGTTGAATCCCAAGATACCTGCGCACTCYACGRCGGCAATTATCAAAAGATACACAAACGACCAAAAYCTAGGCAAACGTATYAGCTTTCCAAAAAYATTTTGCCATCCTATGAACTCGGGGACTTTTGCAACCAARTACAAYGGAATAAGGAAGTTCAAATCCAGAATGAGGAGCCAGCCTAGCTCCAGTTCTAGGGAATGGGCGAAGAGAGTGAAATTTTTGCATTGATAGCTTGAATGRCGCTCCTGTAAACAGCATGTTATTGAACGAATGCTGAAGAATATCAATCCAACGAGGGACGCTACAAGAAGAGTAATATAGCAAAAATACAATACAACTCGCTTTGACCAGATCATAGCCATAACAGCTGACTTCAA